CATCCCTCTCTTGCCTTATGTTTCTCAGGTAGCTTAGAGGCATCGAGAACTTCCTGTTCACCTGGAAGTGTCTAAAAAATGTCGAGCTCATCTGAGGCCATGAGCCGATCGATCTTGCTGAGAGTGACCTAAATCATCACTTGGCATGGGAGGTAAAGGGTTACTGCCAAGCAACAACATTTTGCCAAGTCAGAGACTTGGTGAAGTTCCATGAGGTCGTTGAATTTATACAGATGATCTTACGGATCAGAATTCCTGTCGAATGCTCGCATGTCGGACATTCTGAATCTCGACGGGAGGGGAGTAGCTAATACTGCCGGAGAAAAGGGAGACACCTCTATGACCTACCCTTGCTCATTTCGTTGAGCCTTTATTTGATCCAGAGCTCGCTATAGCTCTTCAATCTGAGGCAGCAGAGCTATCTGGGAATCACTTTCAGCAACGTGGGTTCGACCCTCACGGTTGCGGTTGAGGAAAGATCGTAGGTTGGATTCCTCCTTGCCTTGGCCGGCAGTTCCGGCCAATCTCGACACATGCTAGCTAGAGCCGTGTGATGGCATTGAATGGTTCAGGGAACCTTCCCGACCTCCGCGGTGGTACGAATCGACTTGCGGACGATGGGAATATCTCGTACGATGACAATCAAAGTGTCATTTTGGCGATAATGGGAATCTCCTTGCCTTGCACTTTTGTGGGAGTGCTCGTGCGACGTGGCATGAGAGAGCTCGAGCCGCGACATGTCACTGAGTCGCAATGCCACGGGTATTCTACCTAGGGCACGATCAGTGTTTACTGGTCCCTCAGAGCTTTTGGGTTCGTTGTGCGCCAATTGCTTTCCCTTTCTTTGATGCACTACAATGTGCGCGGTATAGGCTTTTGTCATTTTCTGCGCTTTCAGGCGACCTGCAGGCGTTTTCGGCGGTGGCACTGCCTCATTTGATTCGGGTGGCATGACCTGGTCTAATCGGTCTAGCCTTTGGCTGACCGTTTAGAGAGTATTATTGAACCTCTCTAGGTAACTCATGATGACTGGATCAAGCTGTGAGCTTGAAAGGATATCCCCCATGATATTTTGCTGAGCTTGGGGCACTTCAGGGGAAGTGTCCTCCTGTACCTGGGGGATCTCTTCATTGCCATAATTGATTCGCTTAGATTCGAAACTGCGAGCCATTTGCCGTAGTGGGGCCGATTAGTCAGAGATTCTCCTAATGAAGAACAGGTACTAAATCTGCCCTCCTTTTATCGCCAAACTGTTTATGCTTGATTTTGACACCAACTATTCACACGTGAGAAATGCTAAGCAGGCTCAGAAGTCATACGTGATTATGGAAGTATTTAATTGAATGAAGGGTGAATAACAATATTTAAAGTGGTTCGGATGCTCACAAGGTGAATCCTACATCCACTGGTATTGTATTAATGAGTAAAGTCAGGTCGCGTTCAGCGAGCTGAGTTACAATTTAGAGAATACAAGAGAGAGAGAGAGAGAGAGAGAGAGAGAGAAAGAATATGCTATTCCTTAGTGAAATTAGCCAGTCCGCCAAATGGGAGATAAGTTCTCTATTTATAGTGGGATGAATAAAGGAAATGATTACCAAATCTGCGAGTAGGGTGAATGCCGTGCAAATCTTTCTATGTGTCTCATTGCTCACCTGCTTGAGCAATTTCCTCGACTTATGCAGGGATTGGACACGTGGATGGTTTCCAACCATTCGCCAACCTGGCGCACACCCACTACACTGGCGGGAGCATGCCACTCACGTCATCGCGCGACATGGTCGCAACTGAGCAGTCGTGGAACCTTCTCAAGTTCTGACCACCTCATGTTGACAAGACTCTTCGTCAGCCCTGGTTTTCCAGGCATAACATATATTGATGTGTGATTAGGATTAATTAAACTAGGAGATCCTTGATTGTGCAGTATTTCTCTTATATCACCACTTATATAAAAATTTGTACATCATTATGCACATTCGCTAGAACTCTCTGTTCTGCTAATAAAGAAAAGGTGTCCAAATACTTATAAGCACCGTTATTAAGTCTTAACAACGTGAGACTTGTTACAATCTACGTACGTTTCACTACCTAGTTAGGTGACTTTGGTGATCCCATACACGATCAACCGGTCAAGTAGCATCCGTCATTAGGTTACACCGTTCACAACGGGAGCCCTCCATGTGTAGTGTAAATTGATAGAACTCACTCTTAGAAGCGGACTTGTAAAAAAAGATTGCTAATATATTAATAAACCTAATTACCAAGCTTTAACTTAACAATGTGCAACTCACGATCAACTGGTCAAGTAACATTCCTAAAATAATAAAAACTCCTAAAAAACAAGATATACTAGCTAATATGTAACAAGGGAACAAAACAATCAAATAAACACAATCAACGGCTTGACTTTCAACAATACTGATATCACAGCTATCTTGCTACATGTACCAAAATCTTTACAATTGAAATTGGAAGGTTTGTTTTCAAGAATTTTCAAAGAAAGTGAACTCATGGAGTCAAATATCAAAGACAACTCACGATCAACTGGTTAAGTAACATTCCTTGTCAGGTTGCACCGTCCGCAATGAAAGCCCTCCCCATGAAGAGTTCTTATAAACCTAATCACCAACTTTTAACTTAACAACTCATTTGGATCGCAGCATGTATCAATCGATAATAAAGACAATGATACTGATATCATAGCTAGCTTGCTACATGTACCAAAACCTTTACAATCGAATTTGGACGGTTTATTTACAAGAATTTTCAAAGAAATTAAACTCATGCATGGAGTCAAATATCAAAGACAACTCAGGATCAACTGGTCAAGTAACATTCCTTGTCAGGTTGCATCATACGCAACAAGAGCCCTCCCCATGAACGGTGCTTATAAACCTAATTACCAAGCTTTAACTTAACAATGTAGCTCATTTGGATTGTAGCATGCATCAATCGATAATAAAGACAATGATATTGATATCATAGCTAGCTTGCTACATGTACCAAAACCTGTACAATCGAAGTTGGAACGTTCATTTACAAGAATTTTCAAAGAAAGTGAATTCATGGAGTCAAATATCAAAGACAACATCAATGGTGGGAGCCCTTTGATCCTGATGTTTTTGCATACATTAATAAATATATAAAAATTTCTTAAATAAAAAATATTAATTAAAAGATTACCACCCACATCTTATCTTCAAAGAAATTAAAATTGCCACGTGTAAGGAGGACATTTCTTTACATGGCAAATTGAGAGACACTTAAACCTAATTTGGCATCATCGATCTCTCCCTGACTCCCTCTCCCTCTTATCTCCTTTTTGGAAATACTTCTATGTATCTCTATCATGCTTTTATTTATTTATTTTTAATTACTAAATTAAAGAAGTTCCACTTTTGAATTGTTAATTTTTATAATTATAAATTTACCTCCGTTTTAAATTATCAAACATTTTTATTCTTTAGTAATGCTTTGAACATTTCACTTCTACATCATATACTCTAAATCTTATATGCTTATTCGATAAAGTTAAAATATTTTTTAAAACTAAAATATAGTTTAATGGAGGAAAAAGTTAACTAGAAATCTGGAGTAGGGTTAACTAGAAATCATGCATGATTATGTTCCTGGCCATGGAAAATCGTTGATGCATATAATGAACGGTGCTCAGCTCAAGTAGTTCTGATGATCCTGAGAGAAATCATAATCACCTAAGAATAATTAGACCAAATTCCCCTCAAGTGGAGAATTTTTTCTCACTCTCACTCTCAGTAGTGTTCTTGCTCATTTGGAATCATCTTTAAAAAGCCAAAAACAAAAAAGATTTTTCATCAGTTAGATAATTTATTAAATCTGAGGGAGGTATTGAGGATAACCTTGCGTCTAGGGCAACTACTCTAACAATTATAATAGTATATCCGTTATTGTCGCTCATTTAACCATCATTTTATATTATTTGCTTTAATTTCTCATTATTGTGATTAAATGACGAAAACACACTAGTTTCATTCAACTGGTAACCATGTAAGACAATTAATTCTCTGGACTTAAAAATATTCAATATGACATTCTATTTAGAAAACTAAATGATAACAAAATCAGCAGGGCGTATGCTATGACTAGACTATGACTATGACAACCGTCTAACTAGATACAATGATTTCTGGTGCCCACTGCCCCTCCGACTACCCACCCCCCCCCCCCCCCCCCCCCCCCCCCACACACTAACCGCCGTGCCTTGGCTTCAACCACGGCAAGCCCTATTCTAGGCGTTGCCGTGCTTGCCTTTTGCGTGAACTTAGGCTCAATGCACAACAATGGCACTCACAGAGCCTAAAGACACCACGGGGTGCCAACCACGCGATGGTAGTCGCGCCCCTCCCACCCGAGCCAGTGTCCCAACCAGGCTCTCCCTGATGTGTCGTCGCTGCCCAGCCAATCGATCGTCAATATAGGGTGTCTATGCTGGATTTCAAACCTATAGGGATTGATGTAATTTCTCAAGGATAAGTTCATTAGATTTCAAACCTGTAAAGACTGATGAGAATTTCGCAAGAGTGTGTTCGTTGCCACGATCTGTTTGACCGACCCCTTGATTGGGTCAAGGGGCAGGCTGGGCTTAAAAACATTGCTTTCAATATACAAACGTTATGTCGTTCTTTCAATTATACAAACGATATGTTGTTCTTTAATGAATGATATCAATGACAAAGCAACGGTCAAATATCATCAAAGTTATGCATGAAAGAGACAAAATAGATTATAAAATTTGATATCTTTGCTCTTAATACGTTTCTCTAATAAAATCTTAAAGGAATACAAGCTTGTGTGATAGTCATTGACCCTACTCTTGACACACATCCCATTTTAATTTAGTAAAATATTAATTTTGTGCAACGAACAACTGTCACACTCACAACTGACCCTGATGCCCCTCGAAATTTTATCACATTTATATGGTTTTAATACATCACCTAAGACTTTATCAGTATCCAATGTCCTTAGCCGTCATGTAGACAAGATTTGCATTTTGGGCATTTATGGGCTTGCTTGTCTGCATAACCGCATTTTGGGGATTTATAGGCTTGCTTGTCTGCATAACCAATCCCTCTACGTTTTGTGGGAAAAATCGTGAACAGAAAGCTTGCAAAAGCCCCAACTGCTAGAGGCAAATTCATCATCAGTGTGTTTCCATTAGCCCCAGCATGAGGAAAGAAACACCTCTGCACATCAGTGCTACTAGTTGCAAATACCAGGAACACCAGCAGTGATGCAAAGGCATGCACAAAGTCTTTCGGATGGATTTTATAATTACTCGGCTTATATTCATTTTTGTTGCATTCTTTGTCAGCGGTATCTTCATTTTTGTTGCATTCTTTGCCAGCGGCATCTTCATGTTTGTGGCATTCTTTGCCAGCGGCATCTGCCTTTTCGACGTCGTTTTCGTCGCGGTCATCTTTGTTGAAGATGTAGAAGCCTTTGAATGTAGCAATGCCATAGGAGAGCTTTCCATTGTCGTCGATGAAGCTATCGGTTAAGGAGGAGAAGAAACACACAAATGCGCAAGCTACAATGATACTTAAGGTGAGGTACCGGTTTGCCGGCAGGCAGGAGCCATTGTTAGAAAATGAAGGTGCAAGAGCTTGGAATGCAAGGACTGTGCCTGTAGGCAAAAGGTTGGCAAGGTTGGCCGCTGTGGCTAGAGGCTTGGACTCAGATTTTGGCATATTAGCAACAATAAAGAGACAGTAGAGTTGGGAAACTAGTTGAATGACAAACTTTGTATGGTAGGCAATGATTTATAGGCAATTTGGAAAGTGGGTTTGGCAAGAATACTAGGTACGTAAGTATGTATCCATACATAAATGTACATGAGCACAAAATCTGAGGTAAGCCCTTATGAGAGGGGAAGCGTCAGGGAATCTCTCATAAGGGCACAATTTGTTTTCCATACGAAATATACAAGGACATGTGATTAACACATAATATTCCATTAATTGCATGTGCTAGCTTAATTAATCTAAATAATTTGAGAATCAAGAACAATAAACCCACACTGCTGGGTGCTGGCACGTTTATCTCCCAAGAGTTCTACTTGAAACACCTACCGTTGATCACGTAGCAGAATTGAGCAAAAAGCATTTCAACTCACCTTTATATATACTTACAAATTTAACTTTATTACTAGAATATTAATCCACTCATCAAAGATGGATAAGGCATATATATAAATCAAATCAAGCTTTAAATCTATTCTTTTGTCCTGATAATTACATCTATAAGTTCCTGCAAATTCTGGACCATCAGTTACGGTATCTTTCGATATGCTTCTCTCCCGACAAGAGAAAATTTCATGATATATATAGAATAAAAAAGATCATATGGTACATAGCTTCAACTATCAGATTTGCAGAATCATATTATTATAAATTTTTTTACTCATGGGAAGAACTGACTCCTTAATGTCATCAATCTGCATACAGATTTGTGCAAAAATGAAACACAACAGAGTCTGTAGCACAATAAAATCTGGGGAGATGGCTTGGTTGACAATTAAAAAATTTTAAATGATAAATCACTGCATCGGCTTGAATGGATCAATGAAAGAATTTAAAGGTTCTTCAGTGGCAGTCTAATCATGGCCAACCGTTTAACAGTTCTCTGAGCTCACATTTAGGACTCTGTTTATTTGCAAAGCAGCTTTATTCCTTTTCTGTGGTTCACCCTGAGCAAAGGAAAGCGAGAAGCTTACTGATCAATCAAGTAAGTGGAAGCATTTTAAGAACAAAAAGGGAAGGAACCAATTCACCAGAATCAGTTGATAACAAAACAAATTATATGATCATGTTGGCACTCACTGCATTTGCTATTAACTGTCACTTTTCAATAGTAAAGATTATTATTGGTAATTTGGTATCCTGTTTTTGTATGAAGATCTTGAGATATTTTAGCATATTATCTAAATCCTCTCTGTTTTCGTTGCCAAGAAATTATGCAGAGTAAAAGGAAACTCAGAACCTACAACTCTGGCGACATTACATATTGTGGAAAGATTGTAAAAGCTGAAGACTTGTATATTTCAAATTTCAAGACAGGATTATACCTTGTACGGTTATTCAATCTCTGGTAATGAGTGCATTGATGCCTGTATTTCCTCTAGTGTTTGCTCCTTCGTCTCCGGTACCAACTTTGCCACGAACAGAATAGTCAAGGTGCTGATGCTAGAGAATATGTAAAATGTTCCTGAAGAGATGTATGGTAAATTAAAGTCATTATTCCTGAAAATGTTAAGATAGATTCATATTGAGAGTGTGTGTTTGTGCGAGAAAGACGGGGGGAGGCATCACCTGATGAGCTCCAATTCATTAATAGGTTAAAAATGTATGTAATAATCCAAGAACTGAACCAGTTGACCAAAGACACAACGCTTCCAGCTGAACCCTTCATGTTAATGGGAAAAATCTGAAACAGTAATCACCATTAAGTCTCAGCTCCAAACATTCTTGGTATGTTTTATTGAAATTAGAGCTAAATCTAGAAGAAGTAAGCTAACCTCTGACATTATGAGCCATGGTATCCCAGCAAGGCCTAATCCAAATGATCCGTTATATACCTAATTCCATAATCAGATTGCATTTACAGTTATTACTCACTTATCCGTAAGCCTCTAAAAGTTACAGCTGAAACTTAAATATCTAGAACACATTGAATCCTTCTGTCAATTAACAGAAGGTGGTTGCAAAGTAAACAATATAAGAAGGGTAGTTTCCTGTCTCCACATTGAGTGAAAAAGTTGAGAAAAGAAATTAATGTGTAATAACCGTGCGATTCAGGATCTTGGTAAACACTTTACTTATGCATTCTAATCAGTAGTTTTGACATTAGAAGCTAGACAATAACTTTGAGTGCATGTTTGTAGGAGATAAACAGGAAAAAAGAATTTATCCTACCATTATTCCAACAAACACCAAAGCAGGAGTGCCTTCTTTCCACAGCTGGTGGTCCTGGTCATGTCAAAACATTGATCACTTGATCTTACAAGAATGACTGGATATAAACCTCACAAACAACACTTCATGAGAGAACTACAAGTTTTTGAGCACAAGTTTAGAAGGAACCTGCAACGAGAATGAGACCCCTGCAAGTAAGCAGCCTAAGCATGTTCCCACTGCAGAAATCTGCATAAGATTTCCTGAAAAAATCAGCAAGGGCTTTGCTCAACAACACCATGAGGAGACATTAACTTGCTAGCCCTTTTTTTACCATTAGAAGTGGTCTTCTTCCAGCTCTATCCATTAAGATTATACCAAGTACTGCTGTTGGAATCTGTTAGAGAAATTTTTACAATGTTTCATATATTACATAGACAAGCAACTAATATCGAAAATACATAATTATGAGCACATAACCTGAATAACAGCCATTAGTGTACTCCCAATACTTGCTGAAAAACCTGCCAGAAACCTGGAACTGTTAAGCATATTTCGTTTTATGTTTTCTTATAATAGTTCTCTTAATTAATACAATAATATAGTAAAAACCAGTTTGTACCAGCAGCATCAAATATTGAACTTGCATAAAAGACAATCCCATTAGCCCCTCCAAATTGTTGCAGTAACATCAGTCCAACTCCAATCTGAAATTTCAAATAATTTGAAATAAGATCAGCTGAGCTATAAGTTGGCTACAGGAAAGAATAGGATTTAACTGGAAGCTAACAGTGAGTGAACGGGCATATATTTGCTGAAACAAGTCGAGGATTCTGCCTTCTGGGAGCTCTTTAAGGGATTCAGTGAACTCCTGTAAAACATACAGAGCCAATAGTACTGTAAAAAAAATATTGTAATCAATAAACTTGACTATCATTCAAGATCACTTATTAAGGGTTCTAATGTTACTTCAATCTCAGCTGCTTCCTCAGAGATATCAGCATTCTTTCCTCTAAGGCGCTGTATCGCAACTTCACACTCTTTCACTCTACCATTCTGTGCCTGCAGGTAATTTACATTTGTCATTTCGGCAAACACAATATGATTTGTTTTCCTTAATATCACAACATAAAGAAATTCAAGTTTTAATTTCAAATGTTTCATAATTTGTTATCAGCATGTCTTTTGCTCATAAGTATCCTGACAAAAGCATCCACAAGCTGACAAAATATACTCCATATATACTTTCAAGGGCATTTCTAATACTACATAAATAATGCTCTCAAGCAGAATTCTGAATCTCGACTTACCAACCATCTTGGAGAACCTGGAATGATGAGTAAACCTAAGAGCTGTGTTAAACATGGAATAATTCCTGCAAATAGAATTCATAGGGCCAAGTTTTATAATGCTGCCATCTGATGAAAATCATACAAAAACAAAAACTTACTCAGTTACCTATAAGGGCCAAGGTGCGCCAGCTTACAACAGCTCCAATAAAATACGTTAATGCTAAGCCGATAGATACCATGAACTGTAGAATAACACAAATGTCAATAAGTAATGGGTTTATCCATTGTTATGTAATTATAACGATCTCCTTTTACCTGATGTATAGCTACAAATGCTCCACGAAAGTTTTTGGGTGTTATTTCTGCTAAATATACAGGTACCTGTTTGGAAAAAGGAAAACAAACATCTTAAATTGATGCATGAATGAGAAATTAAACACAATCTGCAAATTCTCTCGGTAATTACCACATAAGAAAGAATCCCAACACCACATCCTTCAACAAATCTTCCAAGGTCCAGCAACCATGCTCCCTTTCAACAAGAATGCTTTAAGCAGTTAATATCCACAACTCATTACAAGCTATAAACTGAGAATCGAGAAAGAAGTGGAAAAGGAAAAACCTTTGCGAATAAAATGGCAAGCCACCCTGTGATGCAGAGTATCTGTGCAATCCCCATTGCCTGTTAAGCAGCATAACCAAAATTATGATTGAGAGAAATCTCAAACAGGCTCAAAACAAGTAAAATTAGTATAAAGAACTTACACCTCTTCTACCAAAACGATCTGAAATCCTTCCACTTGTAACTGAACCTAACATTGCTCCAATCGTCATAATTGAGCCAAATAGTGAATACTGCATATCAAAACATGGATTATGGTTCCTCAGACCAATTCAGACGAAGATTATAACTCCATAGTGACATTTCTAAAAGAAGCATTTTTCTACCAAGTTAAGCTCAATGGGTATATTTCCCGCAGTTAACATTATGAACTAATGGCTCAATGGGTACATCAGATTCAACTCCCTCAAACAACTCACAACAGATAGATAGTGCTAGCAACATACCTCAGTGACAGAAAGGCCCAGATCCTGAATGATTCCATTCTCTGCAGGTGATGAATATCCAATCTGCAGAATCATCAACAAGCATAACTTATTAATCGAATGGGTACAGAAAAATCTTAAAATTAACTAGCTACCATAATTTATCCCCCATATTTCACCGACTGCACAGATTCAAAAAGCTTGTTTGAAGCTTAAAGGTACTTACAGAAGCTCCAAAAACATAGGAACCACAAACAGCAATGAAAGTGCTGAAATATAAAACAGCAGTGGTAGAGTTGCCACTTTTGGAATAACTAGAACTACTAGAGCTGCCATATTTGCCCAATAGAGAAGTCTCTAAGTGCCCATCTTGCTGCCCATCTTCAATGCTTTCTCTCTCCATATCTTACACTTTTCTGGAAATGGAAAAAAACAGACACTTTGGTTTGGATCAGAAGTAAAAAGCTGACAAGTGAAACTCATCATCATCCATATATCATACAAGTTGTAACTTTTCTACTTTCTAGTGGGCTGCTGCCTCGTTGTTGGAATGTTTTACACGTTTATCTTTGCATAATATGGAACCCACGTTGGAAAAGGACAGCTAACAGTCAACTTATTAAGGTTCATAGGGAGAGTGAATTACATTTTTGTCTATGTGGTTTTGGTTTATTCTATGAAGGACACTCTTTATTAAATATTAGCGTTTTAATCCTTTTGACTTAATACATTGTTATTTGCCTGAATATACTGAAATAATGAAAACACCCTTATGAAAAATAATGAAAAAACCATACTATTGTGTGGCTTGACTTCCTCTAAGGTGACTCAAATCTTGATTGAGCTAATCATTTTTCATTGCAACGTTTCACATTTGCAATTGTAAAAGGCAGTTTTCTGACCTTCCAATTTTTTAGGAAGGGAAATAGCTTGAATTACATTAATATTGTTTGTGTAATGCATTTTTCATAATTTTTCAGGTTTTAATCCTCTCTCTTAATAAATTGTTAGTCGATCGTTAATGAACTTGGAAAAAATTACTGAAACTATGAAAATACTCTTCCAAAAGCAATGAAAAGTGATTATAGAAACAATAGTGGCATAGTGCATCTTTCACCATTTTTTAGAGGTTTATTTACGTCAACCTAGTATAATTTCCAAATCAATAAACAGTCAACTAACTAATAAACGAAGTTTTGCAAAGTTAAAAGCCTCAAAATACTAGTATTTGAAATTAGTGTCTTCCGTCATGCATGGATCAAATCATAGGGATGTCAATGTAATTATCTATTTTACTATTTAAAATTGGAGGTCCGAGGACATTAGAGCTTATTCACAGTGTTGGCACGAGGGACCATTGCATAGGTGGATATCTAATTGATAGCAGTTGACGTGTACGTAAATCATTGATTTAGACATTGATTATAAAAAATAAAAAATAAAACAATTTTTTACTTTAGAAATTTAAGAAATTGCGCTACGGGAGAGTCTGTCATATTATAAATGACGTAGGTACATTAATGGATTTATAATATTAAAGTGCGTTTGGTTTAGGGAATATTGGATTACTGGAATCTTATATTACCTTGAAAATTATTAAAAATCTATAGAAAAATATGTTTGGTTAATTGATTGGTATGTTACATTAATATGTTTGGTTAGAGGGAATAAATTGGTGGGTATGTTATTTCAATTATTAAATTGTCATCTTTTTAAATATTAGTATAATATTACTTGTATTATTAATTTTTGAATAATTTTTTCTAACCCCTAATGTTTTAGATTTAGCTAAAGCATCCCTACTTATATAAAACTTTAATTTATGACAAAATCACCCCCACTTCCTGTCGCCACTGCAAACCACCGCCGGAAGTCTCCGAAAGTCATCGTGAGTAGCTTACTGTGACCACGAGGCTCCGATATGGCCGTTTCTGGCCATATTGATGGCCAAAAATGGCCATAACATTCCAGATCTGGTCGGAAATGGCCACATCTATTCTGTCCATTTCCAGCTAGATCGAACGACCAGATCCTTGGCAATTATCAACCAGATCTATTCCGACAGAATAGATCTGACCGCTAATGGCCAAGGATCTGGCCGTTAACGACCAGATCTTACCTGATATGACTGTTTTCGACCATCAATATGGTCGAAAATGGCCATACCGAAGCCTCCTAGTGAATCTAGGTCATTTTTAGGGACTCCGACGACTTTTCGACGGTTGTCCGTGGTGGTTGGCCTACTGTCGACGGTGATGGTCTGTAATTTATTTTAAATATAAGGGCATTATTGTCCAAAACTTAATTAAATAAAGGTAAAATTGAAATGGTATATTAATGTAAATTTATTTTAAAACATGGGCATTATTGTCCAAAATTTTTATTAATAAGGGATAGAATTGTAACAAAAATAAGATTACTAAGGTAATCTTATAATACCTAATCAAACATGATAATCAAGTAATATAAGATGACATAGCTCTAGTAATCTTTCATTACCTCCAATTAAACGCCCCTTAAGGATATTCCAAGGAATGGTAGGGCTTTTCTAATTGAATGCCAAAAATATCTTAAAGCTTCTCTCAATTATTGAATTCCATACGTTTGTAGAAGAAGGATAGGTGTTTCTTGTGGATAGAATTGCTTAATTGATGAAAGGGAAAGTCCATTTGATCATTTCAATGGTCATTTCATGAACATTTTGGAACATTGGAGGGATCCAGTGGTCATCAATCATGGGACCCAATTTCCATCAATCCTTTGTATATCTATCAACTCCAACATATTATTTCTTGAGCAAATTCTAGCATCAACAATGTCAAATATGTCATTTTATCATCATGCATACACTTTACAATATTTGCAGAAAGGACCTGAACAAGGAAACAAGTTCTAAAATACACGAGAAGTGACAGATAAATTCTGCTATGCCCTTCCTTAGTTCATGCCATGTACAGATTTGTGCAGAATATGCAGTAAAATGAGAGTAATGCAGCGTAGAAACTTGACATATCTTGATTTGACTGTCAGAAATTTTCAATTCATGATCAATCACTATTGCATCCCTGGATTGCAGGACCATTTTTAACCTTTGGACAAGCATGCCTGCAGGTTCATCTTCTAGCTGTTAGTGGGTTCATCACTGACTGAATTTGTTCGAGTGTTCGCCCCTTGGTCTCTGGTACTATCTTTGCCACAAATAGGACAGTCAAGCCGCTAATGCTAGAGAATATGAAAAATGTTCCTGAAGAAATGGAAGGTAGAATTTGTATTGAACTATGGGGAGCATACAAGTATGAAGATTAATTATTTCGGAAAATGGTAATGTAGAAGTTCATATTGGGAGAATGTGTGGCATCACCTGCTGGGCTCCGTTCCAATAAGAAGTTAAATATGAAGGTAACAATCCAGGAACTAGACCAATTGACCAAAGACACAAAACTTCCAGCTGAATCCTTTATGTTAATGGGAAAGATCTGAAACAGCAATTTTCGATTAAGTCTCAGCTTTTTACAAATATGCTTGATCTGTTGGATTGATAAACTCTTAGTTTTTTATTGTGTTCTTTTGAAACCGGAAATCAAGCGAGATAAAGTTTACTAACCTCTGACATTATGAGCCATGGTATTCCTGCAAGTCCTAGCCCAAATGATCCGCTATAGACCTAATTGCAGAATCAATTACTTCCACATACAGCTTAACAAATTCAAAGATAATGATTCCTACTCTTCAGTATCAGAAATTGGATGCAAAATGAACAACTGTATTGACCATGCTTGGATTACTATTTTCGACATAAGAAAACTGGACAATTGTATTTGAGTGCAAATTTAGAGAAAATTTATGTGTCCATTGTCTTACCAGTATACCAACAAACACTAGAACCGGCGTGACTTTTTTCCATAGCTGATGGTCCTGATCACGTTAAAACATTGATTTTACTGGAAATTCCAGGAAGTGAAGTTGACGAACAATACCAAAAGATAAGTGTCCTGGAACAAACAAAATTTTAGGAAGGAACCTGCAATGAGAATGACACCCCAGCGAGTAAGCTGCCTATGAACGTTCCCACAGAAGAACTCTGCAGAAGCAGTAGTATAATCAGCAAAGGGCTTTACATTCAAGAACACCAGTAGGGAAAAAAAAAAACATTATAGCCATTTCACCAGTAGAAGCGGTCTCCTTCCGGATTTATCCATTAATAGTATACCAAGTATGGTCATAGGAATCTGTATGAGGAAATTTTCCAGTGTCTTAGCAATACATAATGAAGAAACCAATACTGAAAATACACACTTATTCTTGCATTACCTGAACAATAGCCATTGCAGTAATCCCAACTTTAGCTGAAAAACCTGGCATAAACTAGAACTTTTAATTTGATATGCTTTGCCTTTATTATATCAGTGTTCATACTTTGTATCATAATACAGGAAAAGAAAATTTTCTACCTGCTGCTTCAAATATAGAACTCGAATAAAGTTCAATTCCGTTAACACCTCCAAATTGTTGCATTAACATCAGCGCAACTCCAACCTAAAATTTCAAATAATCCAACGAAAGGTCAGAAAGTCATGACATGGCCACAGGAGAAGAATAGAATCTGGTTGAAAGGGTCACCATGAGTGAACGAGCATATATCCGCTGGAACAAGTCTAGGATTCTGTCTTCAGGGAGTTGTTTAAGGTTCTGTATGTAGTCCTGAATATGTCCATGGTTAATCATACCTTTCGAAATGCATATTGCCCAGAAAGTTGGAATTGACAAATTCTTGTCTTCTATTTAGTAAGAGTTTGAATGTTACTGTAATCTCAGTTGCTTCCTCAGATATGTTGGCACTCTCTCCTCTAAGGCGCTGTAAGACAGCTTCGCAGTCTTTCTCTCGACCAATCTTAGCCTGCATATATATTCATAATTTGAGCAACCCAGGAAGGATTTGTTTTCCTATCTCATGATTTATCAGAAAAATCAAGCTGTTCTTGAATGATTCTTAATTTATTATTAACATCGGTTATTTTCTCATAAGCAACCTGAAAAACATATTCACAACATGGTTACATATATAAACGTTCTCCAGAAGAATTTTGAGTCATCGACTCACCAGCCATCTCGGAGACTCCGGAACAATAAGTAAACCAACAAGCTGTACTAGACATGGAATTATTCCTGCAAATGTAATTATGTAGTTTGACATTTTAATGCTGCATAGAGCTGCAATCTGACTGAAATCATACACCTCAAAAATAGACTGAATTTACCTATAAGGGCCAATGTACGCCAGGTGACAGCAGTTCCAATAAAATATGTCATTGCTGAGCCGAGAGTTATCATGAACTGTAAAATGAAAAACAGTACACAGATAAGCAAGGGGCATGCTTTTTAGTACAGATTTAAACGCCTCTCTTTACCTGATGAACACTTGAAAATCCTCCTCTAAGGTTTTTGGGCGTTATTTCTGCTATATATACAGGTACCTTTGTGGAAATGGAAGCACAAATATAATTGATAAGTGAATGAGAAATTATAGATCAAATGCAGCTTCTCACTGTAAATTACCACATAAGAGAGGAGCCCGATACCGCATCCTATGAGTAGTCTTCCAACGTCCAGCAGCCATACATTCTTTTCAACAAGCATCCATTGAACCATTAATATTCTAAATTATGAGAAGCTATACACCACATATTTTACCAGTGAAGGACAGTAGTTAAGTTTCTTTGTGACATTTTTACATAAACTTAGATGAAAAACCCATCAAGAAAGATAGGAGAACAGAAAACACCTTGGAGCAAAGTATTGAAAGCCACCCTATGAGGCAGAAGAGTTCTGAAATCCCCATTGCCTGTTAAGTTGTGTACAAAAATAATTGTGAAAATTTAACGAGAAAAATAATGTTTTGACTGAAATTTCATACAGGCTGAGAATATGGGAATTAGAGTATAAAAAACTTACACCTCTTCGACCGATCATTTCCGACGTCTTTCCACTTATTATTGCACCTATCATGGCTCCAACCGTCATAATTGAGCCAAAGAGAGCGTACTGCATATTGGGAACATAAAGCAGCATTCATCTCTCTCAAACTATAAGCATTAGAATGCTAATGAAAGACTGTTAGTGTTAAAATGTAATAAAAGCATGAATTCATTATGTTTCCTGACTGTGCTCTCTATAAAATTTTTCTTTAATAAATTTCTTCCTACAGTTGAGGATTTACTTAAAAAAAAAAAAAAAAAAAAAAAAGTAAAGAAGAAAATGTACCTCGGATTCAGAGAGGTCTAGGTCATCCCTGATTCCAATCTCTGCGGGTGAATAATATCCTAACTGAAACAGAATTAATGTTTTAAAAATTTGAAATTAAATCAGTTAAAAACATCCTAAATTAACTGAATTTTGATACACTTACACAAGTTCCAAACACATAGGAACCACAAACAGCAATGAAAGTGCTGAACACAAGAATAAAAGTGGCAGAACTTTCACTTTCAGCTTCACAATCAACATCTGCTAACAGGTGACTGTTAATGTTTCCATTTTCTAAGCTTTCTTCCTCCATATTTTATTTTTTAAAGATAATAACAAGACAACAAGAGACTGAAAGGGAAAATAGGTCAATTTTTTTCAAGATAATAACAAGACAACAGGAGACTGAAATGGAAAATAAGTCAATTTTTTTCAAGATAATAACAAGACAACAGGAGCCTGAAATGGAAAATAAGTCAACAACACTATATATAGCTGGTAGGTTCATGGTGGTTATACCATATATTCTTTCTCACTTTTACTCTGAAACCCAGGTGTGAAACCGTCAGTCAACTCATTAGTATTTATAGTGGACCATCAATTATAGGCCACAGCATGTATGTCATTTACTCGTTCAATATGATTGGTAGTTTTTAAAATGAACATCAATAAGATCAGAGCACCTTTGTTTTTCATGCCGACATGATCTATTACCCAAATATGAGATTAAAAAGAACAACACAAAAGCAGGTGGAAGGTGTTGCAGAACTTTGGCCCTGCAAACAATTTTAGTTGTGTACCATATTACATTCCTGATGAAGGTAAGGTTTATTAGGAATGTTGAAATTTCAGAGCTTTACTATGGTTCACATAACTGTGTTTTTGTGTGGCAACTAGTATCCACCAAATCATCTCAACACTTGGCCCGGAAACTTCTTGGTTGAGCTCATTGTGTGAGTTTTTTTTTTTTTAGGTTTTTTGGTAAATTGTATCGTCGAAGAATTACAGTAATGTTCTTAACAAGGAACAAGATTAACACTTGCAACAAAAAGCAAGATCCTAATTTATCATCTTGCTGAAAATGGATTCATTGATGCTTGTATTTCTTCCAGAGTTCGCCCCTTGGTTTCTGGTACTAGCTTTGCCACAAATAGGACAGTTAAGCCGCAAATGGTTGAGAATATGAAGAATGTTCCTGGTAAATCATGAAAAGAAAATGAGTGAATGATATCGAATATGACAGTTTGATCTTATGTTATAAGTCAAGTGTGGAAAACTAATGTTTCAGCATTACCAGCTGAGCTCCAATTCATTAGAAAGTTGAAAGCATAGGATATAATCCAAGAACCTAACCAGCTAACCAATGTCACAAGGCTTCCAGCTGAGCCTTTCATGTTTATGGGGAATACCTGAAACATTAGAAAGTTCATCTTGTGATATCAAACTCCATTCAGAATATCATCAACCGAATGAAGCAAAGTTCAAATGGACTTCAGTTTACCTCGGACATTATAACCCAAGGTATGCCTCCCATGCCTAGTGAGAAAGATCCTGTGTATACCTAATTTCACAATCAAACAGATCATTAACAAAGAGATCGTGTCAGCCGTCAAATGCCATGAATTTAGCTTCCAAGTGAATGCTCATTACCAGCACTCCAACAAGTGCCAAAAAAGGAGTTACATCCTTCCATTGTTGGAGATCCTGCAAAGACAAGATTTATATTTTAATTAAAGATACATAAATTGACAGAGCAAAAGTATAAATAAGTACTCTTAACTTTATGACCTGCAAGAAAAATGATAATGCAGTGAGGAAGCAACCCAAGCATGTTCCTGCTGCAGACACCTGCAAATATTAGCAGATTTCAGCAGACCTATTAGACTGACTGCACCACAAACTTGGAAAGACATTCTTGAGCTTCTAACCAGCAAAAGTGGTCTTCGTCCGGATTTGTCCATCAAAAGTACTCCCAGCAATGTCATTGGAACCTACAGAAGCCAATTTGAAATGTCTCATTTCCTATGAGCAGAGTGCAACAATTGAATTTCAGTAAAGAGTCAATTTACCTGAACCACAACCATAGCTATCATCCCAACACTACCCGAAAACCCTGTAATAACATCAGAGGAGTGCATTCACTTTCTCTTTTCCTTTTAACCAGTTAATCGTAGGAATCATCTATAACGTGTGTTGACATACCAGCTGATATGAAAATAGCACTTGCATAAAATGCAACGCCATTGACTCCTCCAAATTGTTGTAGTACCATCAAGCCAACACCAACCTTATTACAATTTTGAGTGGTACACCAAGATAGATAGCTAATAAGAAAAAATTGATCCAGCAACAACACACCACACTAAGTTGAGTTAAGAAGCTCACAATGAGGGAATGAGCATATTTCCATTGGAATAACTCAAAAATGCTACCTTCAGAAAGCCTTTGAAGGGTTTCGGTGTAATCCTGTAAAACATGCAAACCATTAATAGTTCTTGTTTGTACAAGAAAAAAAAAAAAATTTATTAGAAATCAGAGTGGCAGTCTCTCTCATGTAAATAATGTTTAAAACTTACTCTAATCTCTTCTGCCTCATCGGAAATATCAGAATTTGCTCCCCTAAGGCGCTGCAGGGCAGCTTCACATTCTTTTGCTTTACCAATCTTTGCCTGCAAATCGTCACATCTCTTTTAAGCATTGCACCGTGAGAAAATGAAATTTACATATTTCTTCTAAGTTTAGTTGTATGTTCAATAAGCCTATCAGATTTCAAAGCCTTTAGGCCATGGGATTGACCAACATAACTCACCAGCCATCTTGGTGATTCTGGGATGAAGAATAGACCGAGAAGTTGAATAAGACATGGAATAGTACCTGAAATGAAATTAAAAAGACTCCACTGTTACAGAACTGCCTCAAATACAACTGAACATCAAAAAGCAGACAAAATTACCAATCAAGGCTAAAATCCGCCAGTTCAGGAAAGCTCCGATGAGATATGTCATTGACACACCACAACATATCATCAACTGCATAATCAGTAAAAGAGTTACATAAGGGACTATTTCATAAAGACTTAGAAAATTAATGATGTTTGGACCTTACCTGATGGACTGTTGTAAACCCTCCTCGAAGATTTTTAGGTGTGATTTCAGCAATATAAATTGGAACCTGTCAATAGGACTCAGAATAATTTTATCTTGCACCTGAATGTGTAATAAAACATGAACCAGAACATTCTCAACACTTACCACATAAGAAATGAGGCCCATCCCATATCCTACCAACAGTCTTCCAACGTCTAGCCACCAATCAACCTTTTAAAAAACACTGAACTTTTAAGTATATGCAAATTAGAATAAATTATAAAAATATTGGCAATCATAAAGGCAAGAACAGAACAATGAAACCTTAGATTGGGAAGGTGGTAAGATAGAATCCAAAAATCTGTACCTTTGAGAATCCTATCCCAAGCCACCCAATGATGCAAAATATCTCAGCGACGCCCATTGTCTACTTAACAGGACATCCAAATTTGAGAGAAATCAGAAATTTGATAGAAGAAAAGAACTGAAATTCTACAAAATGGCTGGAAATAGTCATGGATTGATGGGAAATACTTACACCTCTTCGACCAATGTAATCAGCTATCTTCCCACTCATTATTGCACCTAGCATTGCTCCAATCGTCAATATTGACCCGAAAAGTGAATACTGTTGGATGATCAGAATGTAAAAACAGAGGAAAATCATAAAGGGCAATTCTAAGGAAATAAAAAAAGAGACTAAAGTTCATAGTTCATGCTTACTTGTGCAACAGAGAGACCCAGATCATTTGTTATTCCAGATTCAGCAGGTGATGAATATCCCACCTGCAAATCAACATAAACAATTTGTTAAGCCCAAAATGCAAATAATCATACTACTTACCTAAACTATGTGAGTACCTTATCCCTGAAATTAGGCTGATTTTCATTTTTGACTAATGAAAGTGCCAAAGATTGTCTGTTGCTTAAAGTATACCTACTCATTCATTGACATCCACCACAAGACTAAATGTGTTACATATCAACATGTTTTTCCGCTACCCTTGTTATAATCATGAAGATGATCTTTTGACATTTTTTTAACAAGAACTTGAGCCATAAGATCAAGAATCAAGACAGTATAAACTTACAGCAGAACCAAAAACATAAGAACCGCAGACGGCAACAAAGGTGCTGAGCACAACCACACTTGTGGCTGAAGAACTTCCACTCTCATCACTGCCACCATCACCACCATGGCTGCCACCACTGTCTCCAAGGATCTCAGACTTCTCTTCAAGCAGAGAAGTTGATAACCCTGCTTCAGTTATGCTTTCTTTGTCCATCTCCTATGCTACCGACAGATTACAACCAACTAAGAACTAATAGTATTGATTCTTGTGAAATAATATTAATTTGAGATTAAGAACAAGAAGACAAGAGAAATAGCTAAAGTAAAAGACAAAAAGTGCAGGAAAATTTATGTAGATAGGCCCCACTTTTGTCCTGTCTTTATGTATTTTCCTTGTGTGTTAATCTGTGATCTGATAGATACAACTCATATACCTTAAAAAATGACAATTTCTTAGGAGTCACCATCGTCACTACCATAATTCAGAATGTCTGGATAAAATTAAAAGATACTGTAGAAAGATACACTACTGGACTGGCTAGTGAAGTTTCCTTTCTTGGAACGACTAGGATGCTGAGGTCAATGAGATATTGTGATAAAATACAAAGGATGCTGACCTTTTTAAGATAACTATAAGATATATATTTTTATTTTGGAAGGTCATGAATGAGAGCATATAAATTTCATCAAAAAGGACCCAAACAGGCAAAATATTATACTTTTTAGCAGATGGTTTTCAAGTATTTGCAAGCATAATGTTTGATTATCATAAATTATTTACTTATAGAATTATGATAGCATCAAAATATGAATTGTAGAGAGTAGACTATAGTGCAGTAAGAACACTGTATTCCATTTTTGGAAAAAAGAAAGGCACTGCTTTCCAATTGGTTAAGTTTGCATTACAAAACTGAACCATATAAAAACTCTTAGAAGAAAAGTTCATCACACATTCATGTGATTCAATGATGATACAATGATGATACAATAATTATTCAACTCAAACATGTTATTGGCACTAAATTTCTAATATCAAAAGTGGTTTCTCAGTCTGAAAAATGTGTAATTGATGCTTGTAGTTCTTCTAATGTTCGCCCCTTAGTTTCTGGTACAAGAAATGCTGTGAACAGGACAGCTGAAGCGCAAAAGCCCGCGAATATGAAAAATGCTCCTGTGAGAGTAACCAATGCATGCTTGTATAAGTATTAAGAGAGAGCAAGACGATGGAGAATAAGGGAGTTGGAGAGGGAGGGTTGGTTTCAGATACCTCCTGTGCTCCAATAGTCCATCATAAAATTAAAAGTGAATGAAACAACCCAAGAGCTTGACCAGTTGAGTACAGTTGCTAGGCTTCCCGCCGTGCCCTTGATGTTTATAGGAAATATCTGAAATGAAAGCTCAACATCTCATTTATCTACTGCAGTTAATATATTACTGAAAAACATATAGGGCTTCGTATGATCACATACCTCGGACAATACAACCCATGGTAGTCCTGCCATGCCTATTGAGTAACCTACACTGAAACCCTGATTGCACACATATATAACTCACTTTAATATATTTGAAATTCTCAAGTAAATAGAATGGAATAAACATTTGTGAGAATTCCTTTCTCCTTCTAAACTAGTAATGCATTCAGGGAGGAAATGAAAAAAATGTTTATGACAAGTTTCAATAAGACGGTTTTGAGTTACAGGGAATTACCATTATGCCAATATACACCAGCCATGGAGTGATCCCTTTCCAATGATTAAGGTCCTGCACAAATGATTGTGAATTTGTTAAAAGAAGTGTTTAAAGAGGAGTAGCATATGGTTAAAACTTCTGTTCCAGGACAAACCTGCATGCAGAATGCCAACCCTATGATGAAACAACTTATGCACATTCCGATAGTAGATGCCTGCAAGAATGAAAAGAATTCACCAAAAATTTTCTGAATTAATCAATTCCAAAACAAGATTTCTTGCGTTGAGCCATACCATAAGAAGTGGTCTTCTTCCAGATTTATCAATGAGAAGTACAGATAAAGCGACAGAGGGGAGCTGCAAAAGACTTCCTATGAGTCTCATGATCACTAATAGCAAAATCTTACATAAATTTCTGAACCCAGTACCTGAATGATAGCCATTGATATAGTCCCAAACGTACTTGAAAAGTCTGTCATAAACAAAAATCTCATATAAACATGTCCATTAATATTATTGGTCAATGAAATCATTGGTTATATGAAAAAGTAAAAGAAGAATATGGAAATGAAGCTAGTCTACCAGCATCTTCAAAAATGGAGCTAGCATAATAACAAATTGCATTCGTCCCTCCTAACTGTTGGAATATCAACAGCCCAACTCCAACCTGAACCAATCAAATTATACATGTAAAGATCAAAGATGATTAACTACACATAAGGGGCTTGTTTGCAACTTCAAATGTAAATACTCACAACAAGTGAATAAGCATATCTTCGCTGGAACAGGTTAAAGAATCTAGCTTCTGAATCCCTCTCAAAGGTTTCGGTATAATACTGCACAAAAACAAGATCCTTATTTCTATTTTTATGCTAGGAGTATTAAAACTTCAAAATTTTATTTTCCTCTCATTAGTTGAACATAGATAAGTTGGAAACTTACTCTGATGTCAGCAGCTTCTTGAGAAACATCAGCATACTTTCCCCTAAGACGCTGTAGTGTAGCTTCTAATTCGTTCTCTCTGCCAATCTTTGCCTGCACACAGTCTTAAGCATCAATTGAATTGTTTAAAATAAGTTCTGTGAAGAATGTTTAAAAAAAAAAAAGAAAAAAGTACAAAGTCCTGAATTGGACTCACCAGCCATCTAGGAGACTCTGGAATGAAGAATAAACCAACAACTTGCAATAGACCTGGAACCGCTCCTGAAAATTAAATCAGAGAAAAAGATAAGAAATTCATTCAGAGATACCTTTAAAACTGATTTAAGCAATAGAAAGGCAATAAGAATCTACCAATCAGAGCCAAGGTCCGCCAGGAAACAACAGTTCCAATGAAATACATGAGTGAAAGGCCAAAAGCTATCATAAACTGCAGACTTGACAAAGAAGATGCTCATAAATAATTAATGGAATCAATAATACAATCTTTAATGGTTCAATTATACCTGATTAGCTGCTGTAAATCCTCCCCGGATATTCTTTGGAGTTATTTCTGCAATGTATACAGGTGCCTGTCTTGTGACAATGATACCATTCTGTCATACACATTTCATATTTTAAATTAAGCAACTATGGATTTGTTCAGGACACCTACCACATAAGCGATAAGCCCAATTCCGATCCCCAACGACAGTCTTCCAAGATCCAGTGACCAAGCGTCCTTTCAAATATGACATATGTGCTGGTATATATTAGTATACACAAGTAGCTAAGTAGCTTGACATGTAACTTCAATTCAGAAAAAAAGTTTTGCCTCTACAATCTAGATTGATTAACTAATAACTCATGTAGGCAATCAAATAAAGCATAATTGTGGGCAGGTGAGAAGGAAAAGAGAAGTAACCTTTGAGAATGCTATCAAAAGCCATCCAACAATGAAGAAAAATTCCGAAAGCCACATAGCCTGCTCATAAAGTTGATTGAATACCATTACTATTTCAAAGTTGAAAATGATTTTATTCTGCATTTAGAGAGCAACAGAATAACTTACACCTCTTCGACCAATGAGGTCCGCTACCTTCCCATTTATTAATGAACCTATTACTCCTCCAACTGTGAGTAGTGAGCCGAAAACTGAGAACTGCACGATTAAAAAAAAGGAGACGGAACATTATGACCATGCAATTACAGAAAGGATGAATCAAATGATGTCAATGTTTCCCTGAACTTTCATATTATTTCAGGTTATTTATAACCCAAGGTAGGTCTTATCTCTTACATTTTGCCTATACTTTAATCTGTGTAGTCATATTGTGACACTAATCTGACACTACATATCCATCAGAACACAGCTGCACATGAAATTAATGTAAATCTGCATATACATATATGGATGTATGTGTTACTATGAAATTGAGTTTGGTCAAGAGGGAAGAACACTTACTGCTGCCACTGAGAGGCCAAGGTCTTCCATAATTCCAGATTCAGCAGGTGATGAATATCCTGACTGCATATATAAAATTTGCATTTAAGGAAGCAATCATAATAATTGAGACATAGAGAGCAAAAGATTTCAAAAGGCAGCAATGTATGATAGAATTTCATTAGACATTTTATATATAGAAAATGATAACACATGTATTAATGAAGTCAAATTTTTTGGCACCTTTTCAATCGTATATGCATGTCAGCTTTTTTGATATAAATTTCATATTCAAAACTGAGTAAGAAAATGTTATTTACTATCATATTTTTTACCCATTTTTTCTAGTGGGATTTAGAGAATTACGATTACCATGTATTGTCCTACTTACCTCATTTAGTAGGACTCAACTAAAGTAGTACTCTTGATTTGTCCTATTAGAAAGAATGGAAGGATAACACAATATATGATGATTGTAATTTCCGAGTCCCATACAAGAGTAGACAGGGACAATTACATCTATCGTGTCACAGCCATTGGCATTTGGCAGGATCTGGCCTAAACCTTTGGGTCAGCTGGCATCACAACGCTTCCAATAGACAGGCCCAACCCCTTCAAGTTTGGCCTTTGTATTGAGTCCATTGTCTCCATGCTACTGTTACTATCACATATTCCCTATAAATCAAGAAGCCATGACCACTGAAGTGCTCTAAATTATCATTATCAGGTAAGGTCATCCCACTAACATATCTCTTCCCAGCCTAACTAATTATATAAGAATAAGAACTAAACAAGTAATTTCAGGACACACCAGTATCATAACGGGACCATTACATTACCACCAACCAAAAGAAAATCTTTCACTAGACATTATCAGACGAAAGAACTTTCCCAATTTATTCTGGTGTTTTTGCCTGAAAATGTCGCATTATTGGCGCAGCTACTGTTAAAGAAAGCTAAAATAACAATAAAGAATATATATATTATTAATTACTTACACAACACCCAGAACAAAATGAACCGCAGATAGCGACCAAGGTGCTGAGAATAACAGCAGTTGTAGCAGAAGAATCACCTTGTGGTATGCCACTGCCGCAGTCACTGCCACTGCCATTGCCGAGGCTGTGAAGAATAGGCCTTGGTTCAGGAAGTGAAGACCTTGGTAGGAGTAGTCCCTCCTCCAACCTCTCTCTCTCCATGTTTTGTTTTCTTGAAAAGGAAAGCTAGAGGAGCATGTTGCAATTAAGAAACATGTTAATGAGTAGAAGTTTTGAAAGATGAATCAAATAGGTCAGGTAGAGAGTTTGGTGAGAGACTGACAGAGATAGAGAACTGTCATGGACTTACAGGTGTTCTAAAGGCTCATTGTAAAGATGGTTGTTAGTTGACTGATTTTTATATTAGTTAGCGATAATATCTTTACAGTCCCCTAACTTTTAGACTATTTCCACCACTACTCGTAGTTTAAGAATTATCGCTGGTTTCCTCTACTATTGCATACCTCACCCATACAAATATTGACTTAAATTTTGTCACAATAATCCATGAAGCATGGATTCACACCAAATGTCATTCTTTTTAGGTTGACTTTATTTATAATTTTTTCATTGTAATAGTATATAAGCTTACTTTTTATTCAGATTAGGGATTTGATTTTGCATTCATACTTTGTAACCCGCACTTGTGCGTAGAGAAAATAATACAAGAATAGTGGACGTAGGATTTGCACCTAACATCCAAGTCACTTTAAAAATATCTTTCTTGTACTATTGCTTGATTTCTTATTTATCCATTGATCTAACATTAAAATCACGGGTTTTATATAAACTTCTACGTAGATTCTACCACAGATCCTACATACTTCTCATTAGTGCAAATTACAACATCGACAAACTTTAATCTCAAATAATTTGTTGGATTGTGATGGACCTATATTAAAAAAAAATAGCATCTAATTTTAAGTCATTTTAAACTTAATTTTAATTAATAAATTATTTCACTGAAATTTTTCTACTTTAACAAACACTTCCAATAGTTTGGAAACTATTGTTGAGTGAAGGTCAATGTTTAGTGATACTTATAGTTGTAGAGGATGTTAAAGATAATTTCCAAACTATTGGGGTGTTTAAGGGGCAGCAACAATGTTTTCATACATATAATGTATGACTTACGGTTGGAGCATGTGGAGAATTTTTTATGTAGCTAGTTGTGCTTCTTGAAAACGTGCCTGGTGAGTGGTGGCTTTACTAAATCATTCATGTGGAGACAATATCTGCCATTTCTAATCAATCATTATTTTGAAAAGGGTAAATGACATTTTCGCAACCAAGGTTTTGCAAAATCCTAAGTTGATATCCTTGATTGAATTTATTTTAGATATCTATCCTTAAACTAACACCGTTAGTTACTGTTATAAGTGGTTAGAAACGGTAAGTGAAGTTAGCAAGTGAAAGTATAAGGTTTGTAGAAGAGGTTGTATAGAGTCTAACTGTGGTCTCGGAAGTGATTTTGGACTTTAGAATCGGCCAGAAAAAGCCAAAAACTGCCGACTTGAACATTGCTAAAGTGAGTCACTTTTTGATAAAATGAGCCCATCTTCTACCAAAGAAAGCGTCAACGCATTTTAGCATGTTAATGTGCGTCATGCTATAATAAAATGTTGGTAATCTGTTAAAATAAAGGAAATGACATTACTTTAAGGGTGAGAATTTTGAATAAATGCAATCAAGGGTATCAACTGGGGATTTCGCTAAACATCGGGTGGGAATATGTCATTTGCTATAGTACTATTTAGAAAAAGGTAATAGTTATATAGTTTAATGATCTACTCAAAGAAAAAGATTGTAAGATCTATCTGTCTAAACTTTTACACCTAAATAATGTTGAATTTTAGGTATCGGATGCATTTTCATCCATTGCAATTTTGCAATGAAGCTCTTTGGAGATGATTATACGAGTGACATTATTTAAGTCTTACCAAATTTCTGTGTATAAGAATTTTGTGATGTCTTCTCCTCACGTGTTTTCTTAAAAGAAAGAGATGGAAATTCAAACATGGAAAGTAGCACTAGCTGCAACTGGGGTATAAAATATAAATAAAAAAGTAGGTTGACAGTGAGCAGGAATTTTTAAGAGAAACAGTTTAGTTTAATTTATGCCCTTCAGTCTCACGTATTTATACTTAATATTCATTCCCTCTCTTTGAAGTCCTATATTTTTAAACTCTGATCCATGATAGATCTGGCCGTAGATTTGGCAATTTTCGGCTGGATCCATCAGAAATGGATAGATCGGTATACAGCCGATCAGATTTGACTGTTAGTATGTCATTTCGACCATTGTCGTCACCATCGGTGATGGTGCAGGCAGTCAACAGTGACTTGGGATGGATGGGGGTGATTTGGTTGGAAATTAAACTTTTATGTGATTAGGATGTTTTAGCAATATCTCAAACGTAGGGAGTTAAAAGAATTACTAAAAATATAACAAAAATAATATTATATTAATATTAAAAAAAGAAGACAATTTAATAAATTACATAATATACACGATAAATTTATTACAATCGACTAAATACATTTTAGTAATCCTCGAAATAATTTATTTTCGTTAATATGACAATATTTACTGAATCAAACAACCGTGGATGTCTTTTCGATTAACACTTTTGCAATTTATTCTCTCTTGTTGAAGTCCTATATTTTCAAGCTCTGGATGTCTTTTCGGATTGACATTTCTGCACTGAAAAACAAAATTGGATTTACCCAATCATCCGTTGAATTATAACTTCAACACTTCAAGGGCATAATTATTGCAAGTGAAGAAGAAGTTAACCCAGAGTGGTATAAAAGTCCACCATATTGTTCAGATGAGAATAAGACTGAATGAAAAAAATGGGGTCTTTGCCTTAAAAAATAAATAAATTAATAAATTAAACCATGAGTAAAATTAAATACTGTGATACTAAACTCATAAACTCTTTTTACTAATTTTCTCTCATAAACATAACATGTTAGCTCGTAATTGATCAACTTGCAATATGTCTCATCTGCTCAATAACGGATCCTGTCTATCTAAATGCGAACTGACCAATTACGAACTGTCACGTCAATATTTGTGAAAGAAGTTTGTGAATTGTGTTTGTCAGCTTATCTTTATTCAATTAAATATTGACTATCTTTTTATAACGAAACATAGCCTTGACAGTGGGAAGTAAATTGTTTTTTGAAATACAGGAGAGGGAAGTTTGTTTAGTGAAATCTTAGGGTGGAAAATGTAATAAACTCTTATTATTATTTTGAAAATGTTTAGGACTTTGATGTTACTGTTTAGAATCTCTGGGTCTAGACGTATTTTCTTTTGATATAATAGAAGATATCTCTGGTTTATTATGTTCAAAAGATTTGGTTAAACTTATATCAATTTTCATAATCATTTCCAATAATATATCAGGGTTAGAATTTCTGTCACCATCACATGCATTGAGGTGGGTATCCAATATCAAAATATCATCTATTATAACATATAATATCCAAACTTAAATCTCCAGATGTGACACGACTCATTCATCTATATTTATTTAATACTTATGGAATTAACTTTTTGTATACATTCATCCATTCATTAGATGATACGTCAATCTGTACATCTGGTATTATTCTTTTATGATTATTGCACTAGACTGTAAATGTATGCGTGTTTTCTCAGTGAAAGATGGTCATGGATTCTTGTATTTCTTCAAGTGTTCGCCCATTAGTCTCTGGCACAAGCTTTGCAATAAATAGGATTGTGAAAGCGCAAATGCCAGAGTATATGAAAAATGTTCCTGCAATTGTTTGGATAGAATATTTTAAATTATAGTAAAAAAAGAAAAGAAAAAGTGATCGAGAGATGTAAAAAAATGGAGGGGATTGGTTTTAAAAAATACATACCTGTTGGGCTCCAATCAAACATAAAATTGAAAGTGTATGCAACAGCCCAAGCGCATGCAGAATTGGCAAAAGTTGAAAGGCTTCCAGCTGAGCCCTTGATGTTCATGGGAAATACCTTAAATGGAAGCTTGGTCATTTCTCAAATTTTCAATCACACTGATGAACCAAACTGAATGTAGAATCAAACTCTGATAGAATTTTATACCTCGGACATTATTACCATTGGCAACCCCGTCATGCCTATGGAGAAACTTATTATATAGGCCTGGATACATATATGATGATTGCAGCATCAATCAGCCCTTGTTATTTAATTTTCAGGAAAAAAAAAAAAAAAAAAAAATTCAGTTTCAGTATTGTATTACCATTATGCCAATATAAACCAAAACTGGAGTGATCTCCTTCCAATAGTTGTGATACTGATCATGAACAAACATATCAAAGAGTTTTCAGTGTAAAGATTATTAGTGAATTTTACCATTTCAAATCATAAACAGACACAAAATATGAAGATTTCTGCTTTGGGAGAAACCTGCAGACAGAATGATAAGCCAAGAAGGAAGAAACTGAAGCATGTTCCGGAGCTTGAAACCTGCATGACATTTGAAACTTGTGTATTCACTTATTGCTATACTTCAAGAAACTTAAAATGAAGTTCTTATAGCATGAATTCTAACCATAAGAAGTGGTCTTCTTCCGGATTTGTCTATTAAGATAACAGATACAAGAACAACCGGAATCTGCACAAGATTTTCAATTGGTATATATATGAAATTGCAGATGGAAAAATCTCTTAATTCACTTGCAGTTTATAAGAGTCAATTAGTTACCTGAATAATAGCCATGGAGATAGTCCCCACTTTACTTGAAAAATCTTTCATGAAATAAAGATTCATATCAGTCTTTACTAATTGTTTAAACTTTATCAATAAAAACATTAAGCAACACTGAAGGCTGTTCACTTACTAGCTGCTTCAAATATGGAACTGCAATAAAACAAAATGGCATTAATCCCTCCCAATTGCTGCAATGACATAATCCCAATTCCCACCTAAAACAATCGCAGAGTTCAGAGAATTAATTCACAGAAGAAAATTTACCACAAAAATAATTGTTTTCTTTTTCATAAACTCACTATGAGTGCATTAGCATATCTGGGCCGGAACAGGTTAAAGATTCCTTCTTCGGATTGTTGCTGAAAGGCCTCTGTGTAAACCTGCAGAATAAAAGAAACAAACATATCAGGTGGGATATGCCAATACTTCTAAATGAATTTTTTTTTTTCCTTTGAGTTGAAATTCAAGATTAAGAAATAAAATATTCACTTTGATGTTAGCTGATTCCTGAGAAATATTAGCAGTCCTTCCCCTAAGTTTCTGTAGAGCAGCATCTATTTCTTTCTCTCGACCAACCATCGCCTGCAGTTAAATACAGATCGAGCTATGATATATGGTTCAATGACTCCAATTTGTCAGACAAAATATTCAGAATAGGACTCACCAACCATCTAGGGGATTCAGGAATGAAGAATATACCCAATACTTGCACAAAGCATGGAACAACAGCTGAAAATTTGAGGAATGGTGTTCTTCTTATTAAAGTTCTGTAAGTACCTAAATCAATTAGTATTTCTATAAGGGCTAGAAGAAATTACCGATTAGAGCCAAGGTACGCCAGGAAACAACAGTTCCAAGAGCGTACATCAGTAATATACCGCTTGTCACCATCAACTATAAACTTGAACGAATATTATTAAATGATCAATAAGTTGGCTAGATCCGAATCCAATAACAGTACTATCTAATACATTATAAAATGATAAAATCTAACCTGATTAACCAATGTTAATGCTCCTCGAATATTCTTAGGTGCAATTTCTGCAACATATACAGGTGCCTGTTTTAAAACAAGAGTGCAAATTACTGTCATGCTTCCATCAATCAGTCATATGAACTATTGAGCTATAATTTGCAACGTTTAGTAAAATTACCACATAAAAAGTGAGGCCAATCGCAATTCCCAATGATAATCTTCCAAGATCCAGGGACCAGGCAGCCTAGAAAACAAGCATTTAGTTGATCAGTTTAGATGAAATTAGTTCTTCTTCCAATTTCTAAGTTTAATTTATTCGAAATTGAGAATGAATTGTACATTGGAGAATGCTATTGCCAGCCACCCAATGGTGAAGAAGAAATCTGCTAACCAGAACGCCTGGTTCATAAGATCATTAATTAGTTGAAGTTTTTTAAAGTTTGAAAATTTATGGTTAGAAGGAAAAAGAAAAAAAAAAAAAAAAAAAAACTTACTTTTCTCCTACCAATGAGATCGGTTATTTTCCCGTTTACTATTGAACCAACCAGTCCTCCAATGGTCAATGCCGAACCAAAAACAGAGTACTGCAGAGAGACAAAAATACATCAAAACAAACATAAATTTGCTAAATTTTTGTGGTCTTCTTTATACAATTAATGACTTCTTGCGCAGAGAATACTTGCTTCTGCGACTGAAAGGCCAAGGTCCTCCATGATTTCAGTTTCAGTAGGCGACGAATATCCAGCCTAAAAAAGAACAATAAAACATCATACCAGTCATTAAAACTTGATTTTCATTACATTAATGGCTTATAAAAAATGCCTATTAAGTCTAAACTTAATTCAAAAATGCAATTCAACAGGAACCATAAACCAAAGGAAACTACTTACACAACAGCCCAAAACTAAGAAACCGCATATAGAAATGAAGGTGCTGAACACAACAATGGGAGTAGCAGAAGAATCACTTTGTTCAGTAATGTCACTGCCATCACCAGTATGATTTGATTCAAGAATTGAAGAACCTGGTAACAGTCCTTCCTCCAAGCTTTGTGATCTCCTCATTTTAAGAACAGGTAATGGAGCGGATTTAGGTAATCATAAAAGAGGTGGCATTTGTATTGGAAATTGAATCCCACTACTTACCCCATTCACATTCCAAAGTTTGATACAATTCGTAGGTTTATAAAGTATTAAATCTACCCAAAACTAGTTTATGTTTAAATCATTTGTTTATGTTAAATTCTTGACTTTGATTCATATCAAACAATTTACGCATTGGGGTGGGTCTCCCAAGTCATAATTAATCTATTATAATATAAATAATTGTCCCAATCCATTTAACAAAAAAAAAAAAAAAAAAGGTTCCATCTGCAAGTCTCACCAACCCTAGTTTCCAAACTTATCACATGCCCAACTACTTATCTAATTCCTTGAAAGAGTAGACTACTTTCCCACACAAGGTTTGCCTTAATGACATTTTTCGAACTAAAGTTAATATTCTGTTACTATCCAAAGTCGATTCCGATTGCAAAAATTCTCTCCGTCACCACCACTTGAATTTCTGGTCTTCTCTTTACAGAACTCCTCTCACTCCAACATCTGATTTCTCGCCGATTATCGATCACTGCAAAACTAATGTTTCTTGTTCTTAGCTAATTTCCGGCTGATTTCGGTGACGAATATTCAATTGGTCACCACCATTAGATTTACTAACCTCCATTCTACAAAACTCCTCTTACCTTGACTTCTGGTAACTCATCGAAAGCTAGCTAAGAAAGTGAAGGGTATTTTGGGCATTAACGGAATATAAACCTTCGGAGGAAAAGTGGTATTTTAAAATTTTTTGGGTGGAAAAGGGTTATTAAGACAAACCTTGGGTGGGAAAAAGTCGTTTACTCTTCCTTGGACTCTGAACACTTAATATTTCTGGTTTGCCACTCTTATTCCAAGTAATTAATAATGAATCAGAAAGAGAAGCTAATTAAGGTTTTCATATCTAATCCCTAAATTAATTATTACTTGTTTCCTAATGACATATTATTGGTGAAAGAGGGTTGCTTGTATTTCTTCAAGTCTTCGCCCCTTAGTCTATGATATATGCTTCAATGAATCTATTATTCTAATTCGTCAGACAAATTAGAATTTGTAGCAGGATTAGCCAGCCATCTAGGGGATTCGGGAATGAAGAATACGCTAACTACTTACACCAAGCATGGAACAATAGCTGAAATTTTTAAGAATCTATTCTTATAATTAAATTCTGTAAGTACCTAAATCAATTAATACTTTAAAGAGCAATAAAAAATTACCGAAAAGAGGCAAGGCGTGCCGTACTCCTTTATGTTAAGTGAAAGATCTGAAACAGCAATTTTCGTATAGTCTCAGCTTTTTACAAATATGCTTGATCTGTTGGATTGATAAACTCTTAGTTTTTTATTATGTTCTTTTGAAACCGGAAATCAAGCGAGATAAGTTACTAACCTCTGACATTATGAGCCATGGTATTCCTGCAAGTCCTAGCCCAAATGATCCGCTATAGACCTAATTGCAGAATCAATTACTTCCACATACGCTTAACCAATTCAGAATATGATTCCTACTCTTCAGTATCAGGAATTGGATGCAAAATGAACAACTGTATTGACCATGCTTGGATTACTAGTTTCGACATAAGAAAACTGAGCAATGGTATTTGAGTGCAAATTTAGAGAAAATTTATGTGTCCATGTCTTACCATTATCCAACAAACACTAGAACCGGCGTGACTTTTTTCCATAGCTGTGGTCCTGATCACGTTAAAACATGATTTTACTGGAAATTCCAGGAAGTGAAGTTGACGAACAATACCAAAAGACAAGTGTCCTGGAACAAACAAAATTTTAGGAAGGAACCTGCAATGAGAATGACACCCCAGCGAGTAAGCTGCCTATGACGTTCCCACAGAAGAACTCTGCAGCAGTATATAATCAGCAAAGGCTTTACATTCAAGAACACCCAGTAGGGAAAAAAAAACATTATAGCCTTTCACCAGTAGACGGTTCCCTTCCGGATTTATCCATTAATAGTATACCAAGTATGGTCATAGGAATCTGTATGAGGAAATTTTCCAGTGTCTTAGCAATACATAATGAAGAAACCAATACTGAAATACACACTTATTCTTGCATTACCTGAACATAGCCATTGCTGTAATCCCAACTTAGCTGAAAAACCTGGCATAAACTAAACTTTTAATTTGATATTCTTGCCTTTATTATATCATGTTCATACTTTGTATCATAAATAGGAAAAGAAAATTTTCTACCTGCGCTTCAAATAAGACTCGAATAAAGTTCAATTCCATTAACACCTCAAATTGTTGCATTAACATCAGCGCAACTCCAACCTAAAATTTCAAATAATCCAACGAAAGGTCAGAAAGTCATGACATGGCCACAGGGAGAAATAGAATCTGGTTGAAAGGGTCACCATGAGTGAACGAGCATATATCCGCTGGACAAGTCTAGGATTCTGTCTTCAGGGAGTTGTTTAAGGTTCTCTAGTAGTCCTGAATTGTCCATGGTTAATCATACCTTTCGAAATGCATATGCCCAGAAAGTTGGAATTGACAAATTCTTGTCTTCTTTAGTAAGAGTTTGAATGTTACTGTAATCTCAGTTGCTTCCTCAGATATGTTGGCACTCTCTCCTCTAAGGCGCTGTAAGACAGCTTCGCAGTCTTTCTCTCGACCAATCTTACCTGCATATATATTCATAATTTGAGTAACCCAGGAAGGATTTGTTTTCCTATCTCATGATTTATCAGAAAAATCAAGCTGTTCTTGAATGATCTTAATTTATTATTACAATCGGTTATTTTCTCATAAGCAACCTGAGAACATATTCACAACATGGTTACATATATAAACGTTCTCAGAAGAATTTTGAGTCATCGACTCACCAGCCATCTCGGAGACTCCGAATATAAGTAAACCAACAAGCTGTACTAGACATGGAATTATTCCTGCAAATGTAATTATGTAGTTTGACTTTTAATGTTGCATAGAGCTGCAATCTGACTGAAATCATACACCTCAAATAGACTGAATTTACCTATAAGGGCCAATGTACGCCAGGTGACAGCAGTTCCAATAAAATATGTCATTGCTGAGCCGAGAGTTATCATGAACTGTAAAATGAAAAACAGTACACAGATAAGCAAGGGGCATGCTTTTAGTACAGATTTAAAGGTCTCTCTTTACCTGATGAACACTTGAAAATCCCCCTAAGGTTTTTGGCGTTATTTCTGCTATATATACAGGTACCTTTGTGGAAATGGAAGCACAAATATAATTGATAAGTGAGAGGAAATTAAGATCAATGCAGCTTCTCACTGTAAATTACCACATAAGAGAGGAGCCCGATACCGCATCCTATGAGTAGTCTTCCAACGTCCAGCAGCCACATTCTTTTCAACAAGCATCCATTGAACCATTAATATTCTAAATTATGAGAAGCTATACACCACATATTTTACCAGTGAAGGAAACTAGTTAAGTTCTTTGTGACATTTTCATAAACTTAGATGAAAAACCATCAAGAAAGATAAGAAACAAAACACCTTGGAGCAAATATTGAAAGCCACCCTATGGCAGAACAGTTCTGAAATCCCCATTGCCTGTTAGTTGTGTACAAAAATAATTGTGAAAATTTAAAAGAAAATAATGTTTGACTGAATTTCATACAGGCTGAGAATATGGATTAGAGTATAAAAAACTTACACCTCTTCGACCGATCATTTCCGACGTCTTTCCACTTATTATTGCACCTATCAGGGCTCCAACCGTCATAATTGAGCCAAAGAGAGCGTACTGCATATTGGGAACATAAAGCAGCATTCATCTCTCTCAAACTATAAGCATTAGAATGCTAATGAAGACTGTTAGTGTTAAATGTAATAAAAGCATGAATTCATTATGTTTCCTGACTGTGCTCTCTATAAATTTTTTCTTTAATAAATTTCTTCCTACAGTTGAGGATTTACTAAAAAAAAAAAAAAAAAAAGTAAAGAAGAAAATGTACCTCGGATTCAGAGAGGTCTAGGTCATCCCTGATTCCAATCTCTGCGGGTGAATAATATCCTAACTGAAACAGAATTAATGTTTTAAAAATGTAAATTAAATCAGTTAAAAACATCCTAAATTAACTGAATTTTGATACACTTACACACATTCCAAACACATAGGAACCACAAACAGCAATGAAAGTGCTGAACAACGATAAAAAGTGGCAGAACTTTCACTTTCAGCTTCACCATCAACATCTGCTAACAGGTGACTGTTAATGTTTCCATTTCTAAGCTTTCTTCCCCATATTTTATTTTTTAAAGATAATAACAGACAAAGAGACTGAAAGGAAAAATAAGTCAATTTTTATCAAATAATACAAGACAACAGGAGACTGAAATGGAAAATAAGTCAACAACACTATATATAGCTGGTAGGTTCATGGGTTATACCATATTTCTTTCTCTACTTTACTCTGAAACCCAGCTGTGAACCGTCAGTCAACTCTACTATTTATGTGGACCATCAATTATAGGCCACAGCATGTATGTAATTACTCGTTCAATATGATTGTAGTTTTAAAATGAACATCAATAAGATCAGAGGACCTTTGTTTTTCATGCCGACATGATCTATTACCCAAATATGAGATTAAAAAGAACACAAAAGCAGTGGAAGGTATTGCAGGACTTCGGTCCTGCAAACAATTTTAGTTGTGTACCATATTACATTCCGATGAAGGTAAGGTTATTGGAATGTTGAAATTTCAGAGCTTTACTATGGTTCACATAACTGTGTTTTTGTGTGGCAACTAGTATCCACCAAATCATCTCAACACTTGGCCCGGGAACTTCTTCGGTTGACTCATTGTGTGAGTTTTTTTTTTTTAGGTTTTTTGGTAAATTGTTCGTCGAAGAATTACGTAATGTTCTGAACGAGGAACAAGATTACCACTTGCAACAAAAGCAAGATCCTAATTTATCATCTTGCTGAAAATGGTTTCATTGTGCTTGTATTTCTTCCAGAGTTCGCCCCTTGGTTTCTGGTACTAGCTTTGCCACAAACAGGACAGTTAAGCCGCAGATGGTTGAGAATATGAAGAATGTCCTGGTAAATCATGAAAGAAAATGATGTGAATGATATCGAATATGACAGTTTGATCTTAGCTATAAGTCAAGTGTGGAAAACTAATGTTTCAGCATTACCACTGAGCTCCAATTCATTAGAAAGTTGAAAGCATAGGATATAATCCAAGACCCTAACCAGCTAACCAATGTCACAGGCTTCCAGCTGAGCCTTTCATGTTTATGGATACCTGAAACATTAGAAGTTCATCTGTGATATCAAACTCCATTCGGAATATCCAACCGAATGAAGCAAAGTTCAAATGGACTTCAGTTTACCGCGATTAACCCAAGGTATGCCTCCCATGCCAGTGAGAAAGATCCTGTGAATACCTAATTTCACAATCAAACAGATCATTACAAAGAGATCGTGTCAGCCGTCAATGCCATGAATTTAGCTTCCAAGTGAATCTCATTACCAGCACTCCAACAAGTGCCAAAAAAGGAGTTACATCCTTCCATTGTTGGAGATCCTGCAGACAAGATTTATATTTTAATTAAGATATATAAATTGACAGAGCAAAGTATAAATAAGTACTCTTAACTTTATGACCTGCAAAAAATGATAATGCAGTGAGGAAGCAACCAAGCATGTTCCTGCTGCAACACCTGCAAATATTAGCAGATTTCAGCAGACCTTTAGACTGACTGTATCACAAACTTGGAAAGACATTCTTGAGCTTTCTGACCAGCAAAGTGGTCTTCGTCCGGATTTGTCCATCAATCCCCCAGCTTGTCATTGGAACCTACAGAAGCCAATTTTGAAATGTCTCATTTCCTATGAGCAGAGTGCAACAATTGAATTTCAGTAAAGAGTCAATTTACCTGAACCACAACCATAGCTATCATCCCAACACTACCGAAAACCCTGAATAACATCAGAGGAGTGCATTCACTTTCTCTTTTCCTTTTAACCAGTTAATCGTAGGAATCATCTATAACGTGTGTTGACATACCAGCTGATATGAAAATAGCACTTGCATAAAATGCAACGCCATTGACTCCTCCAAATTGTTGTAGTACCATCAAGCCAACACCAACCTTATTACAATTTTGAGTGGTACACCAAGATAGATAGCTAATAGAAAAAATTGATCCAGCAACAACACACCACACAATTGAGTTAAGAAGCTCACAATGAGGGAGAGCATATTTCCATTGGAATACTCAAAAATGCTACCTTCAGAAAGCCTTTGAAGGGTTTCGGTGTAATCCTGTAAAACATGCAACCATTAAATTTTCTTGTTTGTACAGAAAAAAATATTTATTAGAAATCAGAGTGGCAGTCTCTCTCCATGTAAAAATGTTTAAACTTACTCTAATCTCTTCTGCCTCATCGGAAATATCAGAATTTGCTCCCCTAAGGCGCTGCAGGGCAGCTTCACATTCTTTTGCTTTACCATCTTTGCCTGCAAATCGTCACATCTCTTTTAAGCATTGCACCGTGAGAAAATGAAATTTACATATTTCTTCTAAGTTTAGTTGTATGTTCAATAAGCCTATCAGATTTCAAAGCCTTTAGGCCATGGATTGACCAACATAACTCACCAGCCATCTTGGTGATTCTGGGATAGAATAGACCGAGAAGTTGAATAGACTGGAATAGTACCTGAAATGAAATTAATAAGACTCCACTGTTACAGAACTGCCTCAAAATCAAACTGAACATCAAACAGCACCAAAATTACCAATCAGGCTAAAATCCGCCAGTTCAGGAAAGCTCCATGAGATATGTCATTGACACACCACACATATCATCAACTGCATACAGTAAAAGAGTTACATAAGGGACTATTTCATAAAGACTTAGAAATTAATGATGTTTGGACTTACCTGATGGACTGTCGTAAACCCTCCTCAAGATTTTTAGGTGTGATTTCAGCAATATAATTGGAACCTGTCAATAGGACTCAGAATAATTTTATCTGCACCTGAATGTGTAATAAAACATGAACCAGAACATTCTGACCACTTACCACATAAGAATGAGGCCCATCCCATATCCTACCACAGTCTTCCAGTCTAGCCACCAATCAACCTTTTAACAAACACTGAACTTTTAGTATATGCAAATTAGAATAAATTATAAAAATATGGCAATTATAAAGCAAAACAGAACAATGAAACCTAGATTGGGAAGGTGGTAAGATAGAATCCAAATTGGTACCTTTGAGAATCCTATCCCACCACCCAATATGCAAATATCTCAGCGACGCCCATTGTCTACTTAACAGGACATCCAAATTTGAGAGAAATCAGATATTTGATAGAAAAAAAGAACTGAAATTCTACAAAATGGCTGGAAATAGTCATGGATTGTGGAAATACTTACACCTCTTCGACCAATGTAATCAGCTATCTTCCCACTCATTATTGCCACCTAGCATTGCTCCAATCGTCAATATTGACCCGAAAGTAAATACTGTTGTGATCAGAATGTAAAAACAGAGGAAAATCAAAAGCAATTCTAGAAATAAAAAAAGAGACTAAAGTTCATAGTTCTGCTAACTTGTGCAACAGAGAGACCCAGATCATTTGTTATTCCAGATTCAGCAGGTGATGAATATCCCACCTCAAATCACAATAACAATTTGTAACCCCAAAATGCAATATCATACTACTTACCTAACTATGTGAGTACCTTATCCCTGAAATTAGGCTGATTTTCATTTTTGACTAATGAAAGTGCCAAAGATTGTCTGTTGCTTAAAGTATAACCTACCTTCATTGACATCCACCACAAGACTAAATGTGTTACATATCAACATGTTTTTCCGCTACCCTTGTTATAATCATGAAGATGATCTTTTGACTTTTTTTAACAGAACTTGAGCCATAAGATCAAGACACAGACGTATAAACTTACAGCAGAACCAAAAACATAAGAACCGCAGACGGCAACAAAGGTGCTGAGCACAACCACACTTGTGGCTGAAGAACTTCCACTCTCATCACTGCCACCATCACCACCATGGCTGCCACCACTGTCTCCAAGGATCTCAGACTTCTCTTCAAGCAGAGAAGTGGATAACCCGCTTCAGTTATGCTTTCTTTGTCCATCTCCTATGCTACCGACAGATTACAACCAACTAA